AGGGGCAGAGAGAGAGGGAGAGAGAGAATCCCAAGCAGACTCCGCACTGACAGCACTACACGGGGCTCAATCCTATAACTGTGAGATCATGACCTGAGCAGAAATCAAGAGTAGGACGCTTAACTGACTGAGACACCCAGGCGCCTGTTTTGTTGATTTTTAAAACTGAATGTTTTATTATTGAGCTTTGGGAGCTTTTTATATATTGTGGATTTATTAGTTAGATGATTTGTAAATATTTCATACAAGTCTGTAATTTATCTTTTCATTCTCTTAACAGTGTCTTTTAAAGAGCAAACACTTAGTTTTTATACAGTGCAACTTATCCATTTCTTTTGTGGATCATGCTTTTCATGTCACATCTAAAAAAACCACTCCCTAACTCAACTTTTTCTTCCATAAATTTTATGGCTTTAGGCTTTACATTTAGGTCTTTGATACATTTGAATTAATTATATATGGAATGAAGTAATGGGTCAAAATTCATTTTACTGTATAAAGATACCCATTGTTCAGGTACTGTTTCTTAAGGAGACTAATGTTTCTCCATTAAAAATGGCTTTGCAACTTGTTTAAAGTCAAGTGTCCAAATATATGTTGTTTTGGTTTCTTGGGGCTCTTGTTCAATCCATTATCATTTTGTCTTTTTTGATGTCAGTATCACGCTGTCTTAAATACTGTAGCTTTATAAATCTTGAAATCAGGTAGACTGCTAACTTTGCTCTTTGTCAAAGTTGTTTTGGCTATTCAAGATCCTTTGTATTTCCATATGCATTTTAGATCAGCTTCCCAGTATCTACAAAAAAAAAAGGCTAAATAGGATTTTGATGGAGAATGTGCTGAATCTATACAGTACTTTGGGGACCTGACATCTTAACAATATTAGCTTTACTGATCCATAAACATAGTATACCTCATCATTTATTAGATCTTCTTTAATTTCCCTCAACTATGTTTTGAAACTTGCAGTGTATGAATCTTTCATATCTTTGGTCAGATTTATCCCTAAGTATTTCCTAGTTTTTGGTATTAGTATAAACTATATTATTATTGAAATTTAATTTCTAATTGCCGCTGTTATATAGAAGCAAAATTGATTTTTATATATTTGTATTCTGCAACCTCACTTAACGTACTTCTTTGTTTTAGTTGCTAGATACCATCTGAGAATAATAACTAATTTACTTTTTCCTTTCCAATGAGATGCCTCTTTTTTGCCTGACTACACTGCCTAAAATCCTTAGGTCAATGCTGAACAGAAGCACTTAGTGTGGATATCCTTATCTTCCTCCTGATCTTAGGAGGAAGAGTATTCAGTCTTTCCCTACTAAGTATAATGTCAGCTGTTGGTTTTTCTTAGATGCCCTTTATCAGGTTGAGGACATTAACTTCTATTCCTAGTTTGCTGAGACTTTTTAATCAGGAATGAATGTTGGATTCTGTCAAATGCTTTCTCTGTATCTACTGAGATGGACAAACATTGAATGTCATCATTCCTAGGATAAACCCTTCTTGGTGATGACATGTTATCCTTTTTATATATTGCTAAGTCCTACTGGCTAAAATTTAGTTTATAATGTTGACATCTATGTTCATGAATGATATTAGAATGTCATTTTCTTTGCTTGGTTTTGCATTCAAGGTAATGGTGATTGTCTTAGGTAAAAGAGTAAATCAGGTCCCTGTTACTCTAAGTTAGCCAAAAATAGAAGTCTACTTTATAGTTATTATGCCATTATCTCAACTACTCCTTCCTATTTTAGAAAGTATGTGTTATTAATAACTTTTCTGCATTTAGGAGAAATGGAAAATGGGGGGAAAACTGAGGCTCAGGGAGCATGATAACATGATTCTAATCTGGAACTAGGATTTTGAATCCAGATAATATGAATTTAAAATCCACTCTCTTAATCTCCTACTATACTATAACATTTATATAATATTCAAAAAGATTATTTTTAAACATAGAAATTAATTTTTCATTAAGAAAAAGCTTTCTATCTCTAAACGATACAAGTAGCCTGACCTGGAGCTCATGTAATCACTTAATCACAATGGTTATTTGTTGAGAAGAACGAATGCTAAGGTTTCTCATACACTGAGTCAAGATCCATATAAACTAGTCACTACTGAATATAGTGAAAACCTTAAGAAAAAGGAGGGATCCATATAGAAAGAAATAATCTTGTAGATGTCCAATAGTCTCCAAAAGTACAACCAAAACAGGAAAAATAATTGCTGCTACCATTTCAAATTTTTATTTAATCTTCAAAACCACATTGTGAAATAAATATTGCTATATAAATTCTATAGGTCAGGAAATCTAGACACAACAACATTAAGAAACTTGTTTAAAGTCTGCCATCCTGTAAGTAGTAAGACAGGCATTCAAACCTAAGTCTTGGGGCACCTGGGTGGCTCAGTCGGTTAAGCATCCTACTTCAGCTCAGGTCATGATCTCACTCACAGTTCATGGGTTCGAGCCCCGCGTTGGGCTCTGTGCTGACAGCTAGTTCAGAGCCTGAAGCCTGCTTCAGATTCTGCATTTCCCTCTCTCTCTCTCTCTGACCTTCCCCTGCTCATGCTCTCATTAAAAAAAAAACAAAAAACAAAAAAAACCATAATTCTCTACAGCTCTAGAAAATCTTCATAAACTTGGCATTTTTTATTGTTTACATTACAATGTTGTCATCCCAAACAAACAAGAAGCATTGACAAGGGCCTTTTGGAAATAAGGAAAGTGCAACATCAGATTCTAGCAGAGCACAATGTCACACAAATTAGTGCTAAGCTTTGATGGTAATGATGGCAATGAGGGGTTTCTCAATCCCTGGTTATATTAAATCTGCTTTGCCCTCTTTCTAAAGCAAGTTTTCTTCCATAAAACGCTGAGTGCCTTTTCTCTACTTCTGATGATCTAGTGGGCATAGCTTAATTAGCTTAGACTACTATCTAAGACTACTAGCTATAATGCAGGATTACTCTTTTTTTTTAGTTTGTTTTGTTTTTTTATTTTGAGAGAGAAAATGAGAGAGCAAGCAAGCAGGGGAGGGGCAGAGAGAGAAAGAGAAAGGGGGAGAGAGAAAATCCCAAGCAGGCACAGTGCCAGTGCAAAGCCCAGTGCTGGACTCGATCTCATGAACTGTGAAATCATCACCTAAGCCAAAATTAGGAGTCCAACATTTAACTAACTGAGCCACTCAGGCATCCCCTAGTGCAGAATTCCTCTTAAGAGCAGGATGGGAAGAGGAATAACAGCTATTCAAATAATCCCAGGCATGAGACAAGATGCTTCTAGATAAAAAGCCTGGACTCTTGCAAAGACTGCCAATGTTCAAATATCTTTTCTACCTTATCCTAGCTGTGAGAACTTGGGAAAAATTATTTGATTTCTTGGGGCTTCCATGCCTTCATCTATAAAATGGGGATAATTTTTCCTCTCATAGTGTTGAAGATTAAAAAAAAAGAATATATGAAGAGTGTTTAGAATAGTGCCTGGCACTTGCTAGGCAGTTTTTAAATTTTATTATCAATATCACTATTATTCCTATGGTTACTGAACAGGAAAAAAATATTTTGAGATTCTTTAGCATAAAAGAAGATATTGGCAGGGCACCTGGGTGGCTCATTCAGTTGAGAATCCAACTATTAGTTTTGGCTCAGGTCATGATCTCATGTTTCGTTAGTTCAAGCCCTGCATTGGGCTTCTGTGCTGTCAGTGTGGAGCTTGGCTCGGATTCTCTCTCCCCTTCTCTCTCTGCCTCTCCCCAACTCACTCACTCACACACATACACACACACACACATTCTTTCTCTCTCTTTCAAAATATATAAATAAACTTAGAGAAAAGATATGAGCAAATAACTATATATCTAAAAACACAGTCCTATAAACTGGATATTATCTACAATAGAATCCTAGGGGTGCCTGGGTGGCTCAGTTGGTTAAGTGTCCAACTTTGGCTCAGGTTATGATCTCAAGGTCCATGAGTTCAAGCCCTGCGTCAGGCTCTGTGCTGATAGCTAGGAGCCTGGAGCCTGTTTCAGATTCTGTGTCCCCACTCTCTCTCTCTCTGCCCTGCCCCTGCTGGTGCTCTATCTCACTCTGTCTCTCAAAAATAAATAAATGTTTAAAAAAAAATCTTAATAAATAAGTAAACTTCATATGAATCTTTAATTACTTCAAAATAAAAGAAATCTTGTGTAGTGTTCCCTTCCAGGAAAAACAAAAACAAAAACAAAAACCCCAGTGTCCTACAAACAGCTTTGGAAATTGAGTTCCAGTGTCTTCTATATGTAGGCACACAGTTTTTAAAACACAAGCAGGGATAATGAAAACAATTCATAAAAATAAAGCAAATTACTCAATTCCATTAAAGTAGTATTAAATATCCACAATGGGCTCAGCATTATGCAATGTCCCACAAGGGATATACAAGATCTAATCCTACTCTTGGGGTGCCTGGGTGGCTTAGTTGGTTAAGCGTCCGACTTTCGCTTAGGTCATGATCTCGCGGTTTGTGGGTTTGAGTCCCGTGTCGGGCTCTGTGCTGACTGCCAGCTCAGAGCCTGGAGCCTGTTTCACAGTCTGTGACTCCCTCTCTCTCTGACCCTCCCCTGCTCACACTGTCTCTCTCTCTCTCTCTCTCTCCTAGAAATAAATTAAAAACATTAAAAAAATTTAAAAAAAAAAAAAAGATCTAATCCTACTCTCAATAAGCTTAGAATGTTTGAAAGCAAAAAAATACATACATAAAATATTCAAATGAGACAAAGTATAAGTAATTATCATTGAGTGGCACATGAAAGAATTTTCAAGTACTATTAAAACTTATGAGTTCAATCTCAAAAGAATAAAAGAATAAAAAATTATCTATCTGTATATTTAATGCTATTCCTGATGCTGATGTTAAGAATAAGTTTGAAGGACTTGTATATATGAAATTATTAGTCACTTAAACAATAAAAAACGGTAATTTAGTAATTTCCATTGTAACTTACTGTTGCTATTTTGGTCTTGAGAAAGTTCTCCCTTTCTTCATCTACCTTAATTTCATGTCCAGTTTTAAATAATTCAAGCATTTTGGGGATGTCACGGCCAATGGACTCTGGTTAGAAAGATTAAAAATCCAAAAGTTATCACTACATATAAACAAGTAACAAAAATTACTGAATAAGAGAAACAAACATTCATCAAATATTAAGATATAGCAAATAAGTTGTGGCAGACAGACTTCAGAGTGGCCCCCATCCTGCCCATTTCCTGGTGTTCAAGCCCTTTCATGATTTCCACCCTGAGTGTAGATGGGAGCAGCAACTTGCTTCTAACCAAGAAACAGAATGCTTAAACTGTAATGCTCATCTTGAAGAAGACTCTTCTTTACTAGCTTTGAAAAAACAAGCTGCAATGTTGTAAGCTGACATCTGAAAAGGGCCACAAGACATGAAAATGCCCTCAATCTAGCAGCCTGCAAGGAACTGAATCTTGCCAAAAAGCCATATGAGTCCAAAAGCAGATCCTTCCCCAGTCAAGTCTCAGATGAAACCACAGCCCTGATACTTTGATTGAAGCTTTAAGAGACATTGAAGGAGAGGACCTAGCTTAGCTGTTCACATATTCCTAACATACAGAAACCATGAGAAAGTAAATGTGTGTTGTTTTAAGACATTAAACTTGTGATAATATTGCTGCATAGTAATAAATAACCAATAAGTATATGCAAGGATGATGCTTATCATACTTTAAAAACATTAAGGACAGATTAAAATAAAATCTATAAAATTTTCTATGATAAAAACGAACAGCACACTCTTGAAATCTTTTAAGAACCTTATACCTACCAGGGCACCTAAGTGGCTCCTGTCCCCTTTCTCTCTCCTGTCCCTTCCTCTCCACAACTTGTGCTTTCTCTCTCTAAATAAATAAATAAATAAACTTAAAAAAAAAAAAAACGATGGGAGATATCATAGCAAGTTTGTAAATTGGCCACAATAATTTAGGAACGTATGTCTAAGAAAACTGACAATGTAGTAGAGAGGAGGGAGGGGTGTGATCCATTTGTAGTGACAGGAAGGAAAGTGTTGTGGTCATAGACTCAGGTTAGTCAACATAATTCTTGAGCTCTCACTGTGTGTAAAGCCCTACTCTTAAGAAAGAAGTTTAAGTAGAGATACAGATGATTTAATTGGGTGTCTTTTTTTTTGTATGCCACTATTCTTGCTGTTTATATTTCACTATTGGTCATACTATTTAGTACTAGTTACATCAGAATGTTATACTAAAAAAGTAGTTTTTCCATCTGCACATCCCTTTTCTCCCCCATCAATTACAACCAGATTTAAAGTTCCTCATGGATAATTGCTTTTATTTACAGTAAAATGTTGCTAAACAACTCCCCAGATGATCCTTGGAAGTTATGTATGCTGAAGATATACCGTGCTCTACAATAAGATCTTCATGTTGACTTATCATGGGAAGAATTATTGGAGACATATGATGGTGTGGGTTTTTTTGTAGTCATACATTTCTCATTATATTTATTATTCTTAAAATAATTCATATTTTCTATGTACAAAATTGAAACATAAAAAACATGTATTTTTATGTATTAAATTTGAGTTAAGTGTTCATGACAAAAGAATAGGAAGGTTCAGTTTATTTTTGATGTCTTCAGTGTGACCCTTTAAAAATTCTTCATTTTGGGGCACCTGGGTGGCTCAGTCAGTTGAGCGTCTGACTTCGGCTCAGGTCATGATTTCACAGTTCATGGGTTCAAGCCCCACGTCAGGCTCTGTGCTCACAGCTCAGAGCCTGGAGCCTGTCTTCAGATTCTGTGTCTCCCTCTTTCTGTGACCCCCCCCCTTCTCACGCTGTTTCTCTCTCTCTCAAAAATAAATAAAACATTAAAAAAAACGAAAATTCTTAATTTTTACCTTGATTTCATTTTTCTCCTTCCTATATTCAGTTGCATTTCTTTTTCTACCATAATGGAGGACAGTGATATTAGAATCCAATAAGTTGAATTTCAATTCTTAACTCTTTTTTCATGCCAGCTTCTAGAGCCATTTGAATAATAATGTGCTGCCTCTAGACTATATCAGTCACTGTAATTATTATTTCTACTACTAAATCTTGTGATTTTCCTAGTTCCTTTCTCTTTTTTATGGTCAAGCAGGTTAAGTGAATTTTACATAAAAGTAGATAAAGAGTGGAGTCCTGGGTGAGAGTCTACCTTGGTTCTTTGGGGCTCGAGTAAAACTTTATTTGGGAGGAGATTCAACATGGGAGAGAAGTAGGGGGACCCAAAGTTCCCTTGTCCCTCAAACACAGCAGTGCTGAGGCCAAAGGACTTTGAATTCCAAAAGTCCAGGCTGCAGAGTGACAAAGACGTCTTCAGGGATCCATGGGGACAACCTGGAGGGCCATAGGTGTGTGACTGCAAACTAAGAGAGATAAAAAGGACCGTGTAAAAAAGCACGGGTGAGAGGGATCCCCTTCTGTGGAGAGTTAAAAGGATGAGAAAGAGAGGCTGAGGAAGAGTAGGACTTTATCTGGACAAGAGAAAAATCACAGACTGGGACTGAGAAAGAGCCAATCTCTAACACTGGGGCTTTCTCTAGACAGGGGCCAGCTGCCCTGTTTGCACACCAGTGGGGAACAGAGCCAGCCCCCAGCTCAGTAACTAGTTCAGAGGAGCAGTCCTCAGTGAGAGAAAGTGATCCCCTCACTAGAGTGCTGTGGGAAGAAGGTATATGACTTTTCAAAGGCGAACCTGCCTGCAACAGCCAGCCAGAGGCCATATATCAGGATAGGGAGCAGCACTTCCCCGGAACTGAGGTGTACAGAGCAGGGCCCTTTTAGACAGCGAGTTTAAATCCCAGCCAGCACCAGGAAGGCACAGGGAGTCAGCAGAGTGGGACAAACCAGGTGCACTGCACTGTAAGATGGTGGGGAAAGGCTCTTGCCTGGGACACACAGACTGGGATCTTTTAAGACAGCGTGTTTTAAATCCCAGCCAAGAGCCAGAGGGGTGCAGGAGTTGGGCAGAGCGGGACAAACCGCCTAGTTCATGCCCGTGGCACTGGGAGGACAGCAAGAACAGAGTGGACTGGGGCACGGGATCCGTGGAGGAGGGAATGGGGTATCGCCATTTTTCTCCCCATCACAAACAAGGTGGGGCTTCAGGGAATGGACAACAGGCCCACAGTGGATGGAGGTGGGACCTGCCTACACCAAACCACATACCCTCAGGCCTGGTAACTGCGTATCTACCAGAACAGAATTGACCCTGATGAATCAGACAGCCCCTCCTCCAGACCAGCAAGACCACTGGTTCCAAGGCACCCAGAGGTTTTGCATTTTCTCACTTAATTCTTGAACAATTCTTATTATACACATATTTTTTCCTCTTCCTTTCATCCTTCTTATTCCTTGCCTCCTCTAGTCTGGTTTTTCTGGTGTTGGTTTGCTTAAGCAGACATATTTAATCTATTCTCTTTATACCTGTCTATACCTCCTTCTTTATTTTCCCTTCTCTCTCTCTGGATTAAACCACAAGAGTTTCTCTGCCTGGTCAGGTTTCTTTTCTTTCCCCACCCTCCCTAGCCCCCACCTGTCATATCACTCTTTGTATGGGATAATGACTCTTCCATCAACCATGCCACCACCCCATTCTTTGCTGTAGCTGGTGTTTTGGGGGCTTTGTTGTTTTTGTTTATTTCTTTGTTTGTTTCGTTTTCTTTTCCAGGGCTACGTTTGGTGAACAAATCAAAGCATACTTGGTGGAGGGTCCAAAACATCACTATGAGTAGGGAGATAAAGTGACCACAGTCACAACAACAGAGAGCAAGTAACACTCTCCACAAAACACCACCGGAAGGGCCAGGCCCTGGGCAGTATATGACCCCTCTTTAATATAGTAGTGCTCACAGGTGCAAGGCATGTAAGAAGCTTTTAAAACACATAAGGGACAGAAAACTAGCCAAAACGATAAAACAGAACAATTCTCCTCAAAAGAAATTCCAGGAAGAAATGACAACTAAAGAATTGATCAGAACAGATATAAACAATATAACTGAATGAGAATTTAGAATAATAGTTATAAGATCAATCCTTGGGCTTAAAAAAAAAAAACCATAGAAGACAGCAGAGAATCTATTGCTACAGAGATGAAGGAACTGAAAAATAGTCATGATGAAATTTAAAATGCTGTAAATAAGGTGCAAAATAAACGAGAAGCAGTGACAGTGTAGAAGAGGCAAAGGAGAGAATAGGTGAAATAGCACCAGTCAGAGTGGCTAAAATGAGCAAATTAGAGGACTCTAGATGCTGGCAAGGATGTGGAGAAACGGGAACCCTCCTACACTGTTAGTGGGAATGTAAACTGGTGCAGCCCCTCTGGAAAACAGTGTGGACATTCCTCAAAAAATTAACACTAGAACTCCCCTATGACCCAGCAATAGCACTGCTAGGAATTGACCCAAGGGATACAGAAATGCTGATGCATAGGGGCACATGTACCCCAATGTTCATAGCAGCACTCTCAACAATAGCCAAAACATGGAAAGAGCCTAAGTGTCCATCAATGGACGAATGGATCAAGAAGATGTGGTTTATCTATACAATGGAATACTACATGGCAATGAGAAAGAATGAAATCTGGCCATGTGTAGCAACATGGATGGACCTTGAGGGTGTTATGCTGAGCGAAATAAGTCAGGCAGAGAAGGACAAATACCATATGTTTGCACATAAAGGAGGATTAGGAGGAACTTAACGGAGGACCATGGGGGAGAAGAAGGGGAAAATAGTGGGGGAGAGGGAGAGCGGCAAACCATGAGAGACTCTTGAATGCTGAGAACAAACTGAGGACTGATGGGTGTGGGGGGGAGGGGGGTGATGGGCATGGAGGAGGGCACTTGTTGGGATGAGCACTGGGTGTTATATGGAAACTAACTTGACAATAAACTATTTGTATTTTAAAAAAAGAATAAGTGAAATAGAAGATAAAATTATTGGAAAAGATGAAGCTGAGAAAAAGAGAGACAAAAAAAATTCTGGACCACAAGGGGATAGAGTGATTCAATGAAATGGAAAAATATCAGTATC